ACCATACACTATCATTTTTCTCAACGCGCTCATATTACATTAAAAGATGTATCATTAATTTCAATTTATTTTTTAATACAAAATTCTCACCTCTGAAAATCTTCTGATATATCTTAAACGTTTTTTCATTGCATCTATTGACGTTTTTATCGATTTTAATAATGCTGTAGTCGTTACAGAACTAGATGGTGGTATCGATGTACCATTATTCGACTCATTAACATTATTTTCATTCTCTGCTAGTATACAATCGACTTTTGGAATTATTTCGATCTCATCAGGTCGTTTAATCGCTATTGGATCGATACTTTTTGACGCTATTGCCATAGTCGAAGTAGAAGGTATTATCAATGGTGTAACAGTTTTTGAACGTGTACGATTTTCATTTTTTTTACTATTAAATAATAATGTATTATCAAAACTTCCACTTTGATCGTATGATGATGATGCACTCGATGGTACTGATTTTGAACGATGATAAAAAGTATTTAAAATTGATGTATCAGATGATGAGGATGTAGAAGAACAACTATGGAATAATAAATCTTGAGCAGATGGTGGTAGATGAAGTAAAGGTGGAGTTGAAGGTGGTGATCGATATAAAAATGAAACATTTGAACGATAAAATTTATTATTAATTTCTTTTTCATTTACTTCATCTTCATCACAAGATGGATATTGACAAGCTTTATCAGTTAATGATAATGGTTTACCACATGTACAAAATGATGATGATGTTGTTTGATTATAATTAATATTATCATATTCATGTTGAGTATTTGGGAAAAAAAAATCTGACCCATATTTTGATGATATTTGAACAAGATTGTTATTCATTTCTTTCTCTGTACTATATGCTCTCATTGATCGTTGTCGATCCAATGATTTTCTATTCATATCATCATCATTTAAATTAATTAATACTGGCAATGTTAATGAATTTTTTCTTTTAAAAAATGAACGTGTACTATTCGTATTATTTGTTTTCATATCCGAAATTAAATTTGATAATTTTGTTAATGTTGAATCAGGTGAAAATAGTGTTGCTGATTTTGGATTAGTTAAATTTTTTCGAATATAATCAAATGATGTAGAAATTAATGAAGAAGTTGATGGTTTACGGGATAATGACGGTTGTTCTATTTTCTAAACAAACAAATAAACAAAAATATATAATAAAATAAGTTTTAAAAGATAATTTATATATAAAATTGAAATCTATACATAAGTAGACAAAAGTCTCTTGACCTGCGTAGAGATTCATTTAAATGCAATAAATTTTAATTAATGAACTTACTTGTTCTTTGAACATATCTTCTTCATAATTATTGCTTGTTTTCAATAAGTCTTTATTAATTGGTTTCTCATTACGATAATATAAATTATCATTGTGTAATAAATTTGTGACAAAACATGATGTTGATGTGGATGACGGTGATTTGATCGATTGTTGATGTATAACCGGTATAATATGACGATATACATTTGATTTTACCTTATCATTATCGAATGTCATTGAATGGGGTCTATGGTAACCATAATACTGAGATTCAGATTCATCATTTGTAGTCGAACAACAACGCCGACGTCCACTATCATCAGATTGATATCTGATATTTTGATCATCTTTTTCAATAATTGATGAGGATGTGGAAAGTTTTGATGGTCTTCGACGAAAATTAAATGAATTTATTGAACTATAATTCTTAATTTCAGACATATTGAATGAATGTGTCACTGTAGTATAGATTGGAGATTTGTTATTTAAATTTTTTAATTGATGTTTTATTTGTTCATATTTATCAATTAATGGTCTAGATATTTTGTTTTCTTCAAATAAATTCAATTTTGATATTGATCGTGGTTTATGAGATTCTGAATTATTTAAAAATGCATTCTGAAATGTTTGTCGTAATTTTTCTTCACCAGGTTTTAATGAAATTGAATCTTCTCTTTTTATTATATTGTGATTTTTTGTTTTTATTTCATCTGTTGACCATAATTCAGCATTCTTTTCATTAATTTTTTTTAATAAATATTCAATTTTTTTTGAAACATTTTCCTCTTGATGTTGTTGTTGTTGTTCATCACTCTCATCCATCTTCTCAGTTTTTCTACTATTATTATTATCAATAAAATTTTCATCTTCACATATTGTTTTGGGTTTTTCAATATACCATTTTCTAATTTTTTTTTGATGTTTTGTTGTTGATGCTAAATCTGTTTCAACATTTTCATCCAATAATAAACGATGATTTGAACGATTCATTATAATAAAATAATGATTAAATTATTTTAAAAACTAGATTATACGAGATAATATAATAGAATTTTCCTTCTATCTTACTTTCTCTCATTTTGTCTAAAAACTAGTTCTTTTTTTTTGTTGTTGTTTTTTAAATTTCATATTCAAATTCTTATAAACATAATAATTATGGAATAATATAGATAATATAATATTTTAAAGATCTTCTATAGGCTCAATATTTGACTTGTTGAAAAAAAAATTAAAAAAAGAGATAAACGCATCGGTGGATTAGACGTTAAACTAATAAAGGAAAAAAATATATATAATAGAAATGAAGGCTAAAAAAAGTCTTTGGACGTCTGACATGTTTGTATGAGTATTATTTTCTATTTTTCTTAACTAAACAAAAGTCAGATTAGGGTCAGAAATGTTGACAAGAAGAAGAAAAAATTGAATAAAAAACAAAAAATCTATTTTGTATCTTACTTCTTTTTTTTCTTTTTTTTTTGTTGGAAAAATGGTACATATTTTGTGGCTTTTCTTTATTTTTCTTCTTTTATCAGAAAAAGAGCAAACAACTATCAGTATGTATATCGGACTTTTTTTTGTTTTTTTTTAAGTATACCAACAATAAACAGTAAATAGGAGAAAAAAGAGAGGAGAAGAAGAAGAAGAAAAATGACATAGTAGAATGATATCAACCATTGTATGTATGTATATATACAAAGAATTGACAGTTGTTTAAAGAATATGAGAGAGACGAGAAGAAACATGAGAATTTAAAAATAACATAATAATTGTAATCATCATCATGTGGATGTCTAATAAATGATCATAAAATATCACCATTATCTTCTTCTTCTTTCATCGATAGAATCATTTTTAAGTTTGTTTGTTGTCACATAGAACAATGGTTTAACTTTTTAATTATAAATAAATGAATAAAGAAGATTTTTGTTAAAACAACATTATTTGAATTGCTGAAAAAAATGATCACAAATACATCACACGCACACACACACACACACACACACACATCTCATCTCTCTCTTTCTCTCTACAATTGTTGCCCTATTAGGTAATTGAAGCAACCACCAAATAAACAATATGGATTCATTATCGGAAAGGGGACATTTTTTTTTCTTTTCTCTTTTTTTTTTTACATAAATGCACATAAATACTTTTTGTGTGCAATATGTATACCTAATATATTATATATCGATGAGTATAAATAAGCTTGACATCAAAAGAAGCTGAAATGCTAAGAATAAGAAAAAGAAAAACATTTTATCTCGAAAAACTGTCATCTGAAAATACTACGGGTTATCATCTCTGTTTTGGAAACAAGCTTAATTCTATCTCTTCTTCTTCTTCCCTTCTTTTTTCTTAACTTCTACTCCTTTCCCACTCTCCCTCCTTTCCCTCGTCAGAAACAGAACTATACATCTGACTTCTTGGTTTAAGAATGTGGTATCAACATTTTTTGGGGGATTATAAGAATGAGACAATAGGTTTTTTTTACAGTTAATTATCTCGAACAAAAATAATTTCTTTATGATAGATTTATACAAAATGTATAGTTAAATTTAAAGAATATATATTGAATGATTTTTGCTCTATTCTGTCTCGTTAGACAATAGCAAATTGAACATTTTCATATTGGAATTCTAAAAATGCTATTAATTTTTCAAAATAAAATAATTAGCTAATAAAAATATGAAAAAATCTGATATTTTCGTTGATGGAAACAGTAATGATGCATGATCGTTATGTTAATATTTAATCAAAATAGTATACGAAAATAAAAAAAAAAAAAAAATCTATTCTGTTTTATCCACAGTATTTAGCTAAATGTCATCACATGAAATCATATAGAAAATACAGTAACTTTACAACTATAGATACTTCTGTTTTTTAGATAACATTTTTTACTGTCTCATATTTCACAGAAAAAACATGTGCATAATGAGTTTAAAATAATTTTCAATCGTAATGAGAACTTTGTATGTATTAACAAGATGTCAGATTCTATCAATGGATATCTGATCAAGTTATCAAAAATGAACAATAATCTAGTCTCTATCTATAATAATATTCTTTATATATTCTATTATTGTTTTTGATGAAAAAAAACAAGATTTCTGCTTCTGATTGTATTATTTCTTTTTTTACCAGAGTTATATAAAAGTGAAGTGACTATATTGTCAATGACCAAGGTCCTAAGACATAACGTAAAAAATTATGTTTATGTAAAGAATAGAACAAGAGAGAAGAGGTGATACATCTAGCTAGTTACATAGAAAATGACAGACAATTATCATGGCATGTTTTTCCTTTTATGTTTTAAAGACAGCATACTGTTTTCGACAGATAGATGGATCAAAAAAATACAAGAAATTATTATTGTCCAGTAGAATAATCGATATCATATTAATATTGAGAAAATGAATCAAAACAAATATTTTTCCAACATTCTTCTAACAGAAGTAGAAGAGTGTTTGTTTTTTTGTACAAAGATATTAAAATTATATAATAATACAATGTTTAAATGATAATAATCTTTAATAAAAATCAGACAAACATTATTATGTAGTAAGAATTCCCTGTACATTCGTCAAGTGTCGTCTATTTTGTTCATTTATTATAAATGTACTTGTTTTAAAGATCAGTTTTCATCATGTCTCAAGATTTTTATCGACAAACATAATTTTCTAGTTCCAGTTATTTTATTTCTTATCAAGGTCTTTTTGTTAACAGATAAGAAGGAGAAAATAGAATAAGATAAAACATTGTCTATATAGAATATACTAATTTTTGTTAATGTGTCGGACTGTGAAGAACAAAAATCAAGGAAATAGAAGACGATCAGACACAAAATACTTGAAAAAAAGACTTGCATTTATTATAAGGAGAAAAAGATGATTAAATAAAGCAAAATTGTTGTGTTTCTTACACACGATGTCATTTAGAAAAAGAAAAGACATCGTTAATGATACAAACAATATTTCTAATGGCTCATATGTAAATCTGTTTAGAGGTTACAATTATATACATTTTCCAATGTCAAAAATGAGAATAATATAGGACTCAATTCATCCTATTAATGTGTTAAACTGGTAATAAAATGACCACAAACATATACTTAAAATTCTATATCAGGAATGTATTGGTAAATTAAGTGTTATACAAAACATTAAATCATAAGAGAATAAGAAAAAAAAATATTACATTATTCACCAATGTTTTTACTTATGAAAATTTCTTGCTAATGATAAAAGATATTATACTAGAATATTAACTTACCTCAAATATTGCCAAGAAAATATTTTCATTCGTCATTTGATAAATAATCAATGATTATGAGTACAAAGCCATAATAGAATTTAAAATTTTTTTTATTTTACCTGTTGGCCACTACTTGAAAATGATCCTGTTGTCATACTTGAGACTGATCCACCACGACTTATATTCTCACATTCATCAAGTGTATTATCATATTCTTGTGAACGACTAAAAATAACAAAAATAATTTGAAGAAACAAATGAACTTCTTTTCCACTAAACTTTCGCTTTTATCAATATTTTCTTACCGATCATTATTGTTAATGTTTGTGTTTACACTTATTTTTTGTTGTTTAACGTTTGCTTCATGAACAGATATATCATGATAAAGTGCATTTTCTTGTATTAATTCACGAATACGCATAATCCATTGCTGTTTCGTATTTATATCGGCTGCCTATAATGTCAGACAACAAGTATGTGAACATTAACTATTTCTCTCTCTCTCTCTGTTTTTTCATTTATATACTTTAAGTGTAACACGTAAATCATGAGTTGATGAACGTCCGGTAAATAACGCAAATTTACAAGGTTCACCAGCTTCAAGATGCTCTTTCACATCACATATTTCAGCCGTCTAAATTGAGGGAAAAACTAAATTAAAAACAGAAATTCTCTCATTAACAACATTAATACCATTAATTTATATTTATAAATGTAACGTATAGCACCACGAGCTAGTAATTTTGGTATTTTAGCAATAACAACACTTGTTTCAAATAAAAATACATGACGCTCTTTGCCTTTCTTTATCAATTGTTTTGAATCCCATATTTGAAATGTATTTTGTAATAAAACATCACCAAGTGCCTCTTTAGTAAGACCAGGCTAAAAGATATAGAAAACATTACACATTTATTATGTTCAAATTCAAATTCAATAAGATCTACAGAAGATCATGGCACAATTCAACTATTCAAGGGCAGCATGACTTGATAATTATATTGCTCGTTACGTACTTTAAATATACTCTGTTCCAACCTCGATGCTAGCAAAGTTATATAATAACCTTAGGCAAGTTACTTATGTCTTAGTGCCTCGAATAATCCGTCTGACAGCATACTTACTACGTTGTGACGTACAATAAAGCGTCTCTGGCTAGCCCTTGTAGCTTTTCAGAAAGCTAGTACGTGATTAGCGAAGTGTGTATGGGCAGCGAAAATAAACCTCAAGTAATTGGGCGAAAGAACTCTGCATCGGGCGAGCCTTCTGGTCAGAGCTGCAATTGATGACTAGTAACGAGATGAATGACCATGTTAGACGCTTGTCAACTGCAGAAAAGATATCGGATTATTGAAACTGTCATTTGGTAGCGCCCTACACCAGTAATGGTAACCGCAAGACGGGGTATTCTTCTTTCCTTCCAAATATTCAATAGAGTTTTATCCATATAAAAAGAAATATTTTTTATTAAAAAATACCTTCAACTATGTTTTTTCTCTTACCTCCAATTCTTCTAAATACCCCAGATGCATAGCATCATTAGCTTTTTTTGGTACACTGCACATGAGATCAAATCCTTCTTTGATTTCACCTTTTGATTCTTCACAACAAGCCATTAAACGTTGCAATAACATTTCATACTTTGTGATACGTTGAACAGGTTTAATTAAATAAGAATTAATCGTATCAGTATGATATTTATGTTGAATATTCTAAATATACGAACTTTTAGTCTTATTTTACTCGATCTAATCGATTAAGATGACTTACCTCAAAATAAGGGCCACGATACTGACTCAATAATTTTATGCAAGATTCATTATTTTTACAATATTCTACATAAAATATTTGAAATTGTTCAGCCTAAACGATTAAAGTTATTGATTTAGGAATTACACCATGCGTCAATAGTACTTACCCATGTAACAAAACAATGACCTACGTCTTCTGGACTATCGCCATAACGTTCGAGATCCTTTAGAAACAAACTAAATAAAAGAGACAAGAAAAGATAATCAAATGTAAATTTATCTATTCTTTTCTTTTTTGTTGAATCAAAACAAAAGAGCCACAATTTGAAAATGAGCAATGAAAGAATGATCAATGAGAGAATAAGCAATAGCAGCCTTGATAGTTATTATACATTCATTCTCTATAGTTAGTCATTCACCTATAAAACACAAATACATAAACGGTGGAGATGTGCAACTCGATCCGACTCGACGATTGGGTACGGATCGGAAATTTTACCCTAAAGAAACTGATACCGCTATTATAGATGTATTGGACTGACATTTTTATTGTTCCCTCAAGTATTTGTTTCATATGTTCAGACGATGCCGACCGAAAAAATGTCGGCATAAGATTATACAATTAACAATAGCGTAAATATTCAATATCATATTTACATTTCTATTCTGAACAGATGGAACAAATATTTCCCAAAACAATGGACTTTCCATTGTTCTGGACGTATAATTAAATGTAGCCCAAAAATTCAGTCATTGGCATATATTTGTTATATTTTGTCCTTTTTCTGGGTACGGATTGCGTATGAGTATGATTTTCATACCCGTGCACATCTCTAATAAACGGTTCCTTCACTTTAGACATGCAAAATTTTAAAAAAAATGTTTATTCTTACTTTTTATGAAAATTATAAATTTCTTCAATATTTAAAAATAACACGGATTCTTTATTTTGTAAAAACTCTGGAACATCATCGGGATGACGACGCATTTCACTGAGATAGTACTAAAACGAAAGAAAAAAAAGTGTAAATAATACTAACGTTTCGGTCGTACAGAATGAGATATTTTTGTTTTCTATTTTTCACACTGAAATAAAATTTGGAAAACGGGATCAAAGTTTAGAAAATAGAAAAGTTTCTGTTCAAAATCCTCTCACAGTCGACGTTTTGACCTGACATGTGAACATGTAATTTATTTTACGTGATTAACCTGTTTTCTTCTAGCTTAAAACCTAGTTAAAATCACTTATGCAAATCTGGAGGAGTTTAGGCTCCGTTCCACAGGCAATCAGTTTTTTTCAAATGTTGTTGTACTCTTGGAGACTCCTTGGTATTCTTCGTGACTTCGCTGAGCCCGAAAAATTTTCCTAACTGTTTTTGAATTTTTTCGCGTTTTTTTCGCTTATCAGTCACTTTTACAGATTTTCGGGATTTCATCGAATTCTAATCCCTTTTTCCGATTTTTTCTTGTACTCCCAGAGATTCCTCCAGTTTCTCGAACTTTGGGAAGTTTGTATAGAATTCTCCAGGCTTCTGTAGGTCTGAGAGTCCACAGCTGCTTGAAATTCTGCTGTTTCCCACTTGTGCTACGTTCAGCTCAAAATGAAAGATTTTTTGGAGAAAAGAGAGAAGGGGTACTCTTAACGAGCTGATTTGGAGAATGTCACTAGTTTTACTTGAAAAATGATGTAATGTTGAAACAAGTCAAAAATATGTGACATATCATCGTTTTTTTTAAAATGTACTGAGAAATACTTAAAAGTTTGCGCACGCACTATCGTTGCATTACATTCAAAACAGCATTTGAGTAAAGTTTGGATCAGAAAAAACGTAGGAAAATGTTCTTAGCGTAAAAAATACACTGTTTCTAGAACACTCTTTTATTAAATTTTATTGCATTAGTAGTAATAAAAATCTATTATCTTTTTCGTCAACTTAATAAATGGAATTATATCGACTTTTGTTAGTAAACATTTGGATTAATTATATCTCTCCTATCATCATATTCTGTGATTGTAAATTTTATGGCGTTCAATAGCCATGATATCAAAACTCATGTTGTTCTATTTAAATGGTGAATGATTCAACCTTCGTTTTTTCCCTGAATGCTCCCACTGTGCCTCTCTATCCCATAGATTCGTGTTGTTTTAATATTTGAAAAAACTAATGTAAAGGGCGGATAAGAAGTATAACTGCATCGAAAAGAACAGGATACATTTCTTTTTATACTTGATCAAATTCATAAATTGTATTAATATAAAAATCTTTTTTTTTCCTGTATACCGTATGGTCACAAGATCACCTTACAGATACGAGAGATAAAGAATAGTCTGTTTGACAAAATCCACATCGTATTCTCTGAATACTTTTTTCCTCCTTTTTTTCTTCGAATTTGATACCATCTGAAAGGATTAGTTGTCCTAATATGCGGACATGTGTGATTTTTATGTCATATGAACAAACGATCTAATCGAAAAGATATCTGTGAATCCTGAAAACTTTATTTCAGTTCCTGATAAATAAAAAAACAACAGTATCCCATTCTGTCACTTTCAAAAGTAGAATCGTTTCAGTGTGAATAGAGAATAGTTTTGAAAATAGCTCTAGATAAAGACGAAGATGTTTCTCATCGTCCTATAATGGTTATTCACATTATATTACCTCAATACATTTGTTTAAACTCTCAACATAGGCACGTTCTGTTGTCAATAATTCATTGAATATTAATTCTCGTTGTTTTGCTGATTTTTTCTTTCCTTCTGTTAATTCTTGATTTTCCAATTTTTCTTCTAAACTTGAATCACTTTTTCGTGAATCTTTATCAAGTTCCTAGAACAAACAAAAAAAAGTGAAATTTTTTATTTCAAAAACAAAAAAGGAAAAAAAGAAAGTCAGAAAAAATGTCCTACTTCTTTTCCAATTTGTTCAATTTTACGAAAAAAATCGTTAAAACCATAATCAAGTTGATTACACATATCTTTAATAAGTCCAGCGTATGAATGACCTTTTTCTACTAGTGTATCAGCAGCATCAACTGATTTTCGAACATATGCTTTCTTTTCTTTAAGAGCTCTGACAAACTCAGCATGTTCTTTCGAGTGGGCTTCTGTTTTTTCTCGTCCATCGCTAAGTTCTTTATGTTTTTCTAAATAACTTTCACCACATTCATGAATCCACGATAGGACCTAAACAAATCAGTATACATTTATTTATTATTGTTTTTACAAACTAATTTAATTTAATATTACTTTATTTGCATTTCGTTTAAATGATATATATTGCATGTATTCATCCAGTAATTTTTTTCGTGAATGCCAAGCAATTAAAACATTATTCTCTTTAGCTGTTAGTATACTAACCACATCTATGTATAAAATAAAATATATAAAACAACAAAATAATTGACTAATATAAAATTTTTTCATACTTTTTATTTTTGTATCAATTGGTTTTAAATAATTTTCTGATTTACCAGCATTAGCTGCATTTCGATGTGCACATTTATGAAATTGTTCAGATGATCGACGAGCTAATGTACAAGCTCTTAAAAATGCATGTTTTTGATCTAATAATTTTTGTGAACGTGTTGCCAATAATGTTAAAACATCATTATCATTAACAGTTTTAAATTTTTCATGTAAATCTTCATCAACACGATAATCTCGATCTAAAGTATCCAATGTCGATGAAACCTTAAAAAAAAAGTAGATGTCATGGTAAAACAAATCGATTATTTTTTTTTTCCTACTAGAAAAATATACCTGTTCAGCTGATTTATAAAAACTAATTTGTACAGTTAACAAACGAAATCGATCATCCCGATGAAGAATAATTGTTTGTCGTTGTGATATTAATCGTTGAATAAGTTCTTCTAGTTTTACTAAAGACAATTGTCGTTGTTGTTCGGTATGTTGTGAAAATACAATGGGCGATGTGAGTAACGATGATGATGATGATTTTGAATCTAAATCATTGGAATTTTCGGCTAATATAACGGTTGAAGATGATAATAATTTTTCTGTTTTATGATGTATAGTATCGATTCTGTCCAATATTTTCTAAAAAATAAACACAGAAAAATATAAATTAAAAAAACAAAAAAAGATGCATTACTTACATCAAAATATCGTTGAATTTCTTCACGATCTTTATTAAATTTTTCTGCTTCAGCTAAACATGAGGCAAAAAATAAATTTGCAGATAATTTTACTTCAAAACTATTGACTAAAATTGATATCTAAATGAAAGAAAGAAAATTATTTACTTTCTAAAATCAATCTAATCTTGATCTACAATCATCATTCACTTTATACGTTATTTTTTTCTTCGTTTCTTTTTGTTATTTACCTCATTTGCTTCTTTTTCTAGTTTAACCATTTGTGTACGCCATGCAGATTGTTTTTGCTGTTGTGTAGCCATTTCTTGTAATTTTTTTTCTCTTTCATTCACGTAATTTATTAGTGTACGAATTTGGTCTTGTGACGATAGTGTTTTATTATTCGTATTATTATCTCCATTATTATTATTCGAGATATCATCGAATTTTAATTTTAGTTCTGATGCTTCCATCAACTAAAAAAAAAAGAAAGAGATGAATTACTGAATTGTAACAAGTGTCACGAGAGAAAAAACAGAAATAAAAGAAGATGAGTTTCTTGAAGAGACAAAATATAAGTGAAGATAAACATGTGATATTCAGCTGAAACAACAAAACAATTGATCGACCATTTTTTTTTTTTTTTATCTACGATGAAACAATATATATCACGTTACCACTCTACTTCCGTCTCGTGTTCAGAAGAAGAAGAAAAAAATATTAAATTTTTTACACTTACATTTAATAAATCTTTTCCACGTTGTACAACTTCTGCAACACGCGTATGAATATGTTCTTGTACTTGTGACCAATTGTCCATTTTTGTTGATTTATTTAACACAGACATATGATTATTAGTATTAGTATTAGAATTAGTGGTGTTAATTAGATTTTGTAAAGAAACAGGTATACCAATATGAGCACTTCCATTATTCATTTTCAATAATTCTTCTGACCATATTTCTAATAATTGAGAAACCTAAAACCAAAAATACAATAGAACAAATGATCTTATTCTTTTTTTCTTATTTTTCTTCTTTTTATCATCTCATTTTAAATCTAATTTAGAACTACTAACTGCTCTTTCAATTGACAATATATATTTTTCTATAGTGTGATTATGTCAAAACAGTATGTTAATTTTTGGGATTATTATTAAATTAAGCGATTTTATATGTAATTGAAATTTGTTATTTGTAATATAAAAAAAAGAGAGAAATAATAATAATAATAATAATAATGGCGGAAGAAGAACAGCAAAAACAATAATAATAAATAATAAAATTAGAGTGATATCTCTAAATTAAGTTAACCGTGACTTTAACATAGATAAATGAAAATATAACGGTAACCTATACTCTATAATAAAGGTAAACCGAAACAACACATTGATAGAAACAAAAAAAAAAAGACAACGTGGTCATAACCAGTAACCGCAGCGCATTCTTTCTCCAGAAGCAACAGAACTAAGAGAAAAAAAATAGGAAGTCACTGAGTGCTCAGGATTACCATCTAAGAATATGCTCAGTTATACTATGAAGTCTGTAAAAGAGCACACATTACTCTAACAATTAAAAACTTTGTCATAGATTTTTCGTTTATATTATATACAAATATAGATATTATAGATGAATTGTTAAAAACAGTCAAGTTTCAACGAAAAACTAAGAAGTTAACTGTTAAAGCACAACTATATTCACCTGTTTGTAAATTATGCTTACTTTTAAAAGTTAGAATTTTGTCTCGAATCTAATTATACCTAAAGTTATTTTAAACTTTTAGATTATAAACCTTAATCTCTCTTATTTAAAAATTTTATTATAAAATTATTTTCATTTGAAAAACAAACTAAAAAATATGATAGTATAGTTGTTAACTAGGGGTTTAAAACTCTTCTGTCATTTGTTGTTTTATTTTTTTGCCAACTGTCTTTAACAACTTGGGAGATGAATGATATTCTCTTTCTCTCTTGTTGTAGACATGTGCATACTCTATCAGTAATAGAAACAAGATAGATATTCTATTATTTTTTTCTGACTGTTGATACTAACTACTAATTAGCACTGCCTATATTTTCCGTTTTGATGACAAATAAATGATCAGAAAGAATATGACTGGGAAATAGCGAACAGAGAGATTAGATTATATATGAAACCAAACAAAAAGAATTCACTTTTTTTTTTTAACTTATTCTTTTAATATTCAATTTATTATGAAAATATATCTATATCTTCTGTATTTAGTTAAATTTTTGAATAATTTCAATAAAAGTAGATGATATAGTTCAATTCTATATTTTTACTCGATGTTTATCGAATATTTTCAGTGATTCAATTTAACCTGAAAACGAAAAGAGTTATCACATAATCGTTTTTTCTTCTTCTTCATTCTAACTGTTATCAACTGTCTATGATATTTTAGTGTGTGACTTTTATTTAATAAGTGGATAACATCATTTTCATATTTAGTTAGTCAATAAAGTTCTCCATCCTATTGACTTCCTTGCTTGGTAGAATATGAATAGAATTAAAATGCGTAGACATTCTACTTCATTTTATTTGTCAAAATTTGTCTCTAAACTATTGATATTATTTTATTAAATAAATTACCTAATCTCAATCTCTGTAGTATATATATTTACAACGTCATCGTTCGTTTAACTATTCTTTTTCTTTTTTCAAAATAATAATAATTTTTTTTTTTAAGATTGAACATTGAACTCAAAGTGTATATGTATCATCATCATGTAACTATTATATGTCAATTGATTTTTAAAAGAAAAAAACATGAATTTAAACACATGCACATATATACAATAATATACAACTGTAAGTGGAATGAGAAAGAACAAAATTTTATACACACCTGTATATATTATAATCGAGAGTATGAAAAATGTTCGTCTTGAAACAAAGAGAAGCTTTTATTTTAGAAAAATACACACTCTATGAGAAGTAAAACATCTTCTAACATTTTCTCTATTAGATTTGGATAATGAACAAGTCTAATTTGTTTAAAAAAAATGAAGAAAATTGACGTACATTATCATTTCTTATTATTTCTAAGACGTTGAAATACAAAAATTTTTTGATGTTTCATGTCAATGAATTATTGTACACAAAATCGTTATTGTTCTAGATTCATCTGATATCATATATAAAAAAAAAATATATTCTAATATGAAACTTCAAAATATTCCAAAGTGAAGAGAGTCTGAATTTTTCTCGAAATCATTGATAAACTACTACTCACCATGTTAAATTTGATGTACAGTGAGATGTGATCTATTCTACCTATTGGAATGTATTTCATGAAGAATAACAAGATTACTGGACGTGGGATACATATTTGAATCTCTCTTTTACATACTACAAGTTATTTAATATCAATTGATGTGTATTTTTCGTTTTTTTTTTTTCTTCTTTTTCTGTTCTACCATTTGTGCGGTATTTAGTTGTGGCGAAAAAAGAAGGACATATGGTATTTCTTCTTTTATATTTTTTATTAAATTTTTCTTCTACATAGTCTGTCTACATTGGCATTCTTTTTTCTTTGTTTCTTTTCTACTGTTCAAAAACGAATTCTATTATATAGAGAGAATAACAACAAAAAAATAATAATAATGATAATAATAACAACTACAGAGTCAACAGTGTACGTATTATAACTTATTTTCTCTCTTTATTCTTACTTGCCTATACACACTTGGAAGTAAATTAATAAAGTGAAATATTGACTAGACTTTAGTGTTATTTGGTTCGATTTTTTTTGAATAAAGAAAAATGATTTGTTCTTACCTCATTTGATGATGTATGAAAATTTTCCATTTGTAAGTAAAATTCTAAACGTAATTTTCGCATTTCCCATAGTGTTTCAAGTTCACTTGTTTTTGAACGTATCGAATTAATCAATTCTAGAAAAAACGAAAAATAATAAATGACAAGATATTCATAATCGAAAGAAGTTTAAAAAAATATTATTATTACCGGTTAAATGGTTAAAACATGGTTGATGCGTAGTTGTTAAACTCATGGTGCTTATTTCTCTAGAAAATGATAAAATCATATTGATTAAAAATTCTATTTTCAATGGACAACAACAACATACGTTATATAATCGAGTAATGCCTGTCCTTCTTGTTCCGTTGTTGTACAAGCATCTATTGTTGCATCATGTTGTTCAATTAATTTATCTAACATCTGTTCAATTTCATCAATACTTAATCCGTTCGTTACTAAAAGATCATTATTAGCCCATATTGGTTGAATTTCTTCAAGCCATGTTGTTAGCTTAAAAAAAAGATAAAATATTATCGATAAAATTAGAGTTAGAAGAATATATTATAATTCCAAAATAGTATATTCATTGTTCTAGTTATAAAATTTGATCTTATTGGTTCGCATATTCAACGTCAATCTCCCTTCATCTATGAAATAGTCACGTTAAATTGATTATACAAGGATTAAATAATATTCGATTATAATATCATTTCATACAATAATCATTTATTCTTATAAAAAGTCAAAATGTCACCTTTTAGTATCAGTTTTCTGCCGATCAAAATGTTAATAGAATAATTTTTCTTTATTTTTTTCTTCTTCACTTGACACTATTAACCTCGATCAACATATTATAAAAAATGTCAAACAAAAAAAAAATATATAAGCAAAAACAATAATAACATGAACAGCTGTTTATTCATTTTTATGTTGAGCAAATTATATTAACAAATATATTGTCATCTCTTCAATTAACTAACTTGACACTTGACAAAGGGGAGAGAAAAAGAGATGAAATTGAACATAGTATTTCTTTCTCTTTCTTTTTCTATTTCTATTTCAACAACAGTAACAGAATTTTTATTTTATTTTTTCATACGAACTTGTCTATCCAAAATTAGTCAATAAATACAAATAATAGGAAATATTGAGAGCAATAATAATCAACATAAGGAACAACAACAACAACTCTTTTTTTTTTATATACTATGTACGTAAGAGAAGAAAAATATAAGACTCATTTAAATCAATCTGTCTATCTCTGTGTATGTGAAGATGATGAATATACAGACATGGCAGTGAATATAATAAAGAAAAGGAAAAAGAAAAATGAAAGAACTATAAATGTAAATGTAGTTGTCAGTTATATGAAGCAAGAAAATATAATCATATCATATTAATCGGTCATAGAGATGAAGATACAAACAAATCAAACTAATGGACAAAATAAATTGATCGTGTAAATAAATCAAATAGATACTTCGTTCATTAATGGCAAGGTTTCTTTATTTAGATTTTAAATACTCGTTGCATTAAACATATGAATTGAAAAAATGAAATCCTAGAATTCAGAAGAATTAGTATTGGCTTTCAAACTGCAGTGTTCCTCATCACAATTCCATCCAAGCCTTATACAATTCTGATAGAATTCCTACTATTCGAGCATAAAAACTTCTTTCTACGAATCGGCATATTCTGGTTCAATTCTGCTAGAATTCTAAACAGTACCGTTAGTTGAATGGACCGAACTCTGAGAATTCTAGAAATTTCCGAAAATTTTCGGTATTTGATGCTGTTGGATCAATTAAATTATTTTGTTTTCTCGAATACAGCATCTTACAATACAGCATCAAACGTTAGGTAACGTTTTGTAACAGCATAAACTTAGTTTTATACGTTCACAAACTTAATACTTTAGCGAAGTTTCGTTTTCGATTATAACTTACAAATGTTTTTATAATTAATTTACTAAAAGTAGAACCTTCTGTTTTTTTTTCAATCGTAAATTCAAAATAAAATTCTTTAACTTATTACAAACTGCTAGTTTATTGCACAATTGCATCTGATGAGATTCTGTCGTTATATTCTATCATTATTCTACCATTGTTCACTCTAATTTCACCAGAAACTATCTCCACTAAGATTCACAGAATATATGGATAGTTCTTATACCTGTTTAATATGTTCATGAAATAAAAAATTAATATCTAATATTTGTCGACGTTTTTGAACTTTTCCATCGAATTCTTGCATACGTTTATCTAAATCATGTGCCAATTGGTATATTTTATTTTTTGCTTGTGTTAATTCTAAATCTAATATATCATCGGTTAGTGTTGGTGATGATGAAGAGGAGACGGATGTTTGTTTTTGTTCCTGTTGTTCACGATACAATTCATCAGCGGCAGCAATCAATTTTTCAGCATTTGTTTTTGTATTCTATTCGAAGATAAAAAAATACATGAAAACATTCAATAGTCGTATATACTTAACTTCTTACCTCTAATACAGTTTCAAAATTGCTATGCGTTTTCAATAAAGCTTTTGCACGGTGTAATGAGCGACCAATTGAGACATTTTTTTGTAGAAAAACATCACCATGACGCTCAAGCCAGTCAAAAATCTAATTAAAAAGAAAATTTCAAATATTATGAGAAAGAAACGTTATGTACCAACTTACTTGTTGTACATCATATTCAAATGTCAATAGACTTTTACGTTGTTGCAAATATGTTCGTCGCTGATTCCATTTAAAATCAAGCAATCGATGATTGGAAAGAATCTATATGAAAATAAAAGATACGGTGAAATTTATCAATGATCATAGATCGATAGAGACAAACCTCTTGAACAATTTCCAATATATGTCGAGCACTCGATCGAAAATCTAATTGATCATCGGATGTTTGTGGTGGTGCTACAGAATCAATTATTGCTTTTCCATCACTACAGATCTATAAAAAAATAGATAAAAGGTAGTAGATCTATGTTATTATGACAGTAAAAAATGATGAATAAGCGGAAAATTTTTGTACTAAAAAGAATTAAGTCTAGCTTTCTCGGAAAACAAATAATTCTAGTGATTTCTTCCAAAGATGTATCATTTTCTGAAGAAACTACTTTCGAGTCTCCTATCAGCATTAATAAACACAAAAAGAATTTTAGTTTACAGTCCCACACTTACATCAGCATAAATTTTAGATATATTATCGGACAAACGATAATGTTGTTGTAACAGACATTCTAACTGATCGATACTTTGTATGGATGTAATATCATCTGTCAAAGAGCATAAATGTTTCCATGTTGGAACTTGAATTAGATACTAAAAACAACAAATAATGATATTAAGAAAGATTACTTCTACACTAAGAAACAGACCTCATCTGCTTTCTGATGAAATTGTAGCGATGCCGTTAATATTTTTGTACGATTATCTAATAATGTTGTCAAAAACTTCCACTCTTCATTGAGACGATTCATTTGTGTTTTAATCGCATTCGTCGCATAATGACCACTTGATATTAATCGTTCACCAACATTTTGTGTACGACGTATCACAGCTTCGTTTCCCTGAAAAAAAATAATAGATTAATTCAGTATTTGACACTTTTTATCGTTCAACGAACCAAACATGTTTTTGTAAATTGTTCATGTTCAGCTAAATGTTGCATTGCTTCCAAACAACTGTTACCAATATCGGTATATCGTCGTAAAATAATTGAACGACTTTCGCCAATCCAATTGCAGAGCTAAATTATATGATGAAAAAAGTACATAAAAAACATTTGGCGTGTCTAAATTTATTTACCTTATCGCAATCTTGTTCAAATAATCTCAATTGTAAATTTTGTTCTAGTCGTACTTTTTTTTGATGCCATAATAAGTAACATCGATCTTTTGCTGATCTCAAATTATCCATAACAATTGTTATTTTTCTTGCTTCATCAAAATAATCTAATGCAAATGCACGTTGATTTGATTTTGATGCATTATTGTCTTGCTGTTGTTGTTCTACATTGTTTGATAATGGTATTCGAAGCATATTCAATAAATTTTTTCCCTCATTTATCAATCCATCAATGGTTATACGTGATAATTTATCTTTATATATTATCATATGTGATTCAATGGCATCTTGAGCTGTTCGAACATTAGACGATTGATCAGATAAATTCAATTCATTATAATTTGACTCATATTTTTGCAATGTTTCTTTCGAATAAAAAACAAATCCTTCCAATTTCTAAAAAAATGAAAACAAATGTAGAAACTTGGATGGAAGAGAAACAAAACAAAGTGAACATACCAGTCGAAATTCTAACCAGTTTTGATGATTGTACTGGAATGTTCCGTTCAAGTCTGTTGGCAGTTGATTTCGATCAATATCTCGTGTTAAACTTTCGACAGATTCGACAGTATGCTGAACACAAACCAAAGAATAAACAATAAGCTATTTATTAAAATGTTTTCTCTCGTACTTCTAATTGAGTATATTTTGACATTCCCACAGATATTTTGTGTTTTTCCCAAAAATTCTCCGGTTTTATAATGTAGATATGTTCAATTTTATATGGAAAGCCGTCCTAAAACACCAGCATAAAATGCATAAAAGCAAATTCATTTTTTTGAGAAATAATCGAACCTGTAAAGCTTTGAATATCGCTTTTCCAGATTCCCATGTTCTTCCGCGCATATCAACAATAAATGAAAATTTTGGATCCATATTTGTAGAGCTACAAAAATAATAAGAGACAGAAAAGTCAGTCTTCTTTTCTTGATCTGTAGTCAGTACCTTGCAATTGATGCTAAGTAGGTGATAATCTTTTTTATTTCATCAGGATTCAATCGTTCAATTGGAGCAGAGTGAGGGAAGGTAATTAATGGATAACCTTTTTTATCTATGCCACCTAAACAAAAAGAATAAATTCATTCCAGATATTCTCTTTTTGCAATATATAAAAAATATATGGATGGTTCCGAATATATATTGTCCATACCACTAATGTAAGCATATTTCTCTTCTAAATATGTCTTAATATCCAAGGCTTTCATTGTTTATGCTTGATCTCACTTCATCAACATTTGATCGGAAGCTAGGCTATTTACAAAGATGAAATCTTGCATAATTTGTAGAAAGCTGGAAAAGTTAATGCAACTAATTTTCGAAATGCATTGTGAAAGCCATCTAAAATAACACAAAAAGATATCATAAACAAAGAAACGTTTATATCTCAAGTGTAATGCGGCTAACATAAACAGCAATTAAGTCTCAAAGATACACTTCGAAAACTGTAAAAGAGAACGCTGCCTTTTTTTCTTTTCTACTCCGAAATAAGCAAGTAAAAGAAAAAATATTTAAACGAGTGCCATTTGGTTTGAAAAACGGACTTTGTTTTTTTTGTTTTGGCAATTAATTCAAGAGATGTTACATTAAAACTTTCAACAAAAACGTTAACATGAA